AAAATTGTATTAAAAATAATTGAAATCCTGTGAAGAATTTTATTATTTATTAAAATAGTTGAATTCTTGAAACGAATTTTATTACATTTTTTTAAATAATTAAATTCATGTGAAAAATTTTATTACTAGTAAAAATAATTGAATTCTTGGGAAGGATTTTATTAAAATTTTTGTAAATAATAAAATTTTTTTTTTTTGAAAAATTTTATGAAAATTTAAATTATTATAAAACATAAAGATATTCTTATATGTTGTTAAATTTCATAAAAATTTGAATTTGAAATTTTTTGAAAATCTTAATTCATATGGAATAATAATAATAATTCAAAACAAAAATAATATTAAAATATAAAACTTGCAGAATTTCCACGGAATCTCTACGGAAATTTTATGGAATTTTCAAGGAGTACTTCCATGGAATTTTTCGACCTGATTTTTTCATTCGAATTAAAAAAAATATGAAATAAAAATTCTTTTAAAAATTCTTTTTCTTTTTTTTCTTCATTCGTCATAATCGTCGCAGTCGAAATCGGAGTCAATTAAAAAAATATCGCGGAAAGATAATTTAGCAAAAAAAAAAAAACTATGTAATTTAATGTCAATTTATAAAAATCAAGAGATAAAATTTGAACTTTCCTTTTTTGTTTCGTAACCTCGTTCGAATAATAATAGAGGTTGATAACAAACTGATTTACCGTCTATAGTGAAAAATTACAAAGGGACAAATATTCCTCTGGGTTTAATAACTTGTATTTTAATGAAAAATTTAACACTCCTTCTCCACTGAGTACGCTATATTCTGTTAACAAATTTCACCACACAATAAACAAATTTTTCTCTACACGTAAAAACGCTTCCAAATCCACTTTACGGGTACAAATAAGTAAAATATAAAACCCTATTTGTGACAATAGAAGGTCATTTTTTTTTATTTTTCATTACTAAAAAAGAATTTTAATATGTAAAAATTAAAAAAAAAAACTTACTTGAACTTTTTATGTACACAATTTTTCTGAGGATATAAAACTGAGAAAACCAACGAATCAGAACATTGCGACACTTTTGATTCGTTTTTTGTCTCAATTTTGATATGCTTAGAAAAACTGTGGTATTTTTTCTTAAAATTAAAAAAAGAAATTAAAAAAATTGCCTAGAAGAGAGAAAATGTGAGGTCGATGTTAACACATAATTATTATCATCATATATCATCACACATAGATACACAAATGTCATATCATTAATAAATGAAAAATAAATGAAAAAAGAAAGAAAACTTGATCAATTTCATGTAAAAAAAAACAGCGAATTATTAAGGCTTAAATTAGAATTAGAATCAGCGAAGTTATATTATAATATAGTGGCGTGTATTAAACATTAGAGCATTGTTAAGGGCCTAATAGTTAAAGTATGGTAAAAAATAAAAAAAATATCAATTACTGAGTATAAAACTCAAAAATACCCGATGTTTTGTTATTGTATACGTAAATGCTTGTCTGAAATATACTCGCGAAGCGACGCTATTGATAGAATATATATATATATAAATATATATATGTACACTTACTGAGTTGTATTCTTCCATCAAATCGAGAGTGTCTCGGGACAAGAAGCGAAACAAAATAATATTTCATTTTAAAATCACAGTGAAATCACGATTTTTAATTAAATATTTCAATTTGTTTTCTTTCAAAACATAAAAAAAAGAAGCGAAATGCAAAAAATTGTTTTAATTCCAAAAAGTTCTTTTTGTTATATTAAATTACAAAATTAATTTTTTCAATTAAAAATTGGAAAATATTTTGAAAATTGGAAATTTAATCAAGATTTGTTGAATTTAGAAGTTTTTCTTGTCGAACGAGACGCGACTCGATGATGTTAAAATATATCTGCGATGTATTACAATGATGACAGAGTCGTCTCCAGCTTCAAAAATTTTAAAAAGGAAGATGAGGGCAAAAAAGAAGCTCCTTGACAATTTTTTAAAAGATAGATGTCCAAATTTGAAGAAAGCAAAAGGTCGCTACAAAAAGAAAAAAATCTATCTCTAAACAATTATTACACTTGTTACGCTATCAATAAGTTTATATTATTACGTCTATTGTAACAGATTTACAAGTATTATACGTGATATATTTATACAAGCTGTTATACACTATACATATATCTCTCTACTTCCATTTCTGCGTTAATATATTGCGAACGACAGACAAAAAAAAATATGAATTTATTGGAAAAAAAAAAATAAATTATGAGAAAGGAGGTGAAAACAAATTTGGAAAAGAATACAACGAATACTTAAATTTAAACAATCGAGATTCATTAAGCAGAAGAATATTTATAGAATTGGAGTAAAGTAAAATAATAAGAGGAAAAAAGGAGAAAAGAGTCAATGAAAATTACTGAAAGAGTAAAAAAAGGGTTAGAAAAAAGAGTTCAAAAATTAAGAAAAGAGTAAAATTGAAGTAAAAGTAAAGATAGATTGTAAATCTTTTTTAACATTTTTTACTCATTAAGTAAAAACGAGTAAAAAATGAGTGAAGAAGAAAGAAGTAAGAAAAAAGGAAGAAAGTGAAAAAAGTAAGAAAAGAGTGAAAAAAGAGTGAAAAGAGATTAAAAAAGTAAGGAAATGATAAAAAATGAGGGAAAAAGGAGTGAAAAAAAATAAGTGAAGACAAAAGAAGGATGAAGAAGAAATTAAGAAGTATAAAGTCAAGTAAGAGGAAAATCAGTAGATTCGGTCATGCTATGGTCAGACATTCTTTAAACTCGAGAGCCAGGAGAGAATTCTTGGTGCTGATTAACACTAGATAGAGTTCAACGGCTATTGTCTTCGGACGTTGATTGATGAAGAAATGTGGGTTACCACATCTTTTTGACATTGACAAAAAAAAAAGAAGAAAGGTCTGAAAAAGGAAAAAGTCAAGGAAAAAGTTCTGAATCATTCTCGGCTCAATTATTCATTTGAAAAATCGTGGTTCCCTCTTGGAAAATAAAGAGCACAAGAAACTAGAGAAATGAAAAAAAAATGAAGAAAAATAAATAAAGAGGAAAAAGTGAAGAAACAATAGAGAAGAAAAAAAAGAAAAAAGAAAAGAAAAAGAAATCAAGAAAAACAATCAAAGAAAACGCAGAAAAAGAAAAATTTAATACAAGTAAAAAGAAAAAAAGGAAAAGAAGAATTTTAAAAGAATTAAAGAAGAAAAAACTAAAGGAGGGAAGAAAAGGAAGAAAATGGAGAAATAGTGAAGAAAGAGCAAAAAAGCGAAGAGAAAAGAAGAATTTTAAAACAGTGAAGAAAGAAAGAACCAGTGAAGAGGCAGTGATGGAGGAATCAGTGAAGAAAGAAAAAACCAATGAAGAGGCAGTAGGAGGAATCAGAGAAGAAATGAAGAAGAAGCAAGAAAAAACCAGTGAAGGGGAAGTAGGAGGAATCAGTGAAGAAAGAAATAGTGAAGAAATGAAGAAAACCAGAAAGAAGAGGCAGTGAAGGAGGAATCAGTGAAGAAAGAAAAAACCAATGAAGAGGCAGTAGGAGGAATAAGAGAAGAAATGAAAAAGAAGCAAGAAAAATCCAGTGAAGGGGAAGTAGGAGGAATCAGTGAAGAAAGAAATAGTGAAGAAATGAAGAAAGAGTAGAAAAAGAAAAAACTTTGAAGAACATACGAGAAAATGGAGCCGCGAAAAAACACTGCAAGGAGAACAAAAAAATAGTAAACAGAGAAAGAAATAGTGAGTTAAGAAAAAAAGAAAACTAGTGAAGAAAGAAGAAAAAAAAGAAAGATGGAAATAAAGTAGAAATAAAGACATGAATGGAAAATAAAAAGAAGAAATAGTAAAGGATTGAAGGAAAATAAAGAAACTAAAAATATAAGAAAAAAAAAAGAAAAAAAGAAATAATGTTGAAGAAATGCAAAGTGAAGTAGAAAATAGTAAAAAACAGAAAGAAAAAATTAAAAACGAAGAAATAAATTAATAAATAAAATATAAAGTAAAAAAGGAAGAAAACACTAAAGGAAGAAAAAAGTATAGAAAAAAAGTAACAAGAAAAAGGATATCAGTGGAAAAATAGAAAAATTTTAATGACAAAAAATAGCAGAAAGTACATAACAGTGAAGAAAGAAAAAAGTGAAGACAGTAACAGTAAATAAGCACAAATAAAGGAAAAATTAGTAAAGAAACGAATGAAATTAATTAAAAAAGAACAAATGGAAGTAAATTAAGAAACGTAGAGTAGAAAAAAGGAAGAAAAAACCTGAAAAATAGGGATACTGCTGAAGAAATGAAAAAAAGGAGAAGAAAAAAGAAGACACATCTGAAACACACGCATGAAAAAATGTAAATCGCTCTTTTTTGTAGTTGTTGCGAAAAAAGGGTAAATCGCCCGCCTGAATGAGAAAGAATATACACGTATATATATATATATATATATATATGTGTGTGTGAAAAATAAAAGTCGTTAATATGTAGTCTTCCTTTTCTTTTTTATTTTTTTTTATTTCTCTCTCTCTCTCTTGGTTTTCTGACTTTTCATACAACAAGCGAGCGATTTTCCCCATTTTATGAACCCTTCCAAACTCAATGTACATAAAACTAAAGAAAAAAAAAATAAAGATGCGTGCGAATGTATCATGAGGCAAAGCATTGTGCATAAACGACAACGAAAGCTTTAATAAAAAAAAATCTTTTTTATATTATATTTTATTATTATTATTATTACAATTTTTAAATTTAAATTTAAAAATTGTAAAATTAAAGTAAGAAAAATCGAGATTTTAATTTTGAAGATTCATAATTTTCACAATCAAAAACAATAATATGACTATTGCTGAAAAGAAGCTTTCGTGGACGTGAAAAATTTTGTCAAAAAAAAAACATATGTATCTTATTTTTAAGTTTTTATAAATGTCGTTCGCAAAAAATACCGAAAAAGACGCATTTTTCCTCTTTTTTCGGAATTGTTACAAACTTGTTTTCAATAAACTTATTTTTTTGTTTGTTAGAATGGCAGTGGTCCTGGAGGAGAATCTGGTGGAAGAGCAAATGGGTAAGTTGCATTTCCTTAATCTTTTTACACAAAAAAAAATTTTCTGTATTTTTTCTTTCTGTCTTCTAAACTTTTCAAATACACATTTTATTCCAAATTCGAAGCAATTGTCAAAATTACAATTTTCGATTTAGAGTTTTCCATCAGAATCGAAGTAATTTGAGTATAGGAATAAAAAAAAATTGCGATGTAAACAAGTTTCTCTTTTTTTTTTTTCTTTTCGTTTAGCAATTTACCTTTAAAAAGGGGATTTTCAAGAAACTCTCTTTTCTGTAACTTGGGAAATAGTCTGACGAGAAAAGTGTCGCAAATATAAAAAAAAGAGGGGAAAAAAAAGAAAAGAAAAAAAAAACCATCACCACAGTGACGAATGTGTCGACGAAACCGCAAGAAAAATTGTCTCCGAATAATATTGAGAGACACTCACTTTTTACGAAGATTTAGATTCATATCGATTTGGTAGATAAAAAAATTGTATATTTATTCCTGGAATGAATTTAGCACAGGAGAAAATATCTCGTCACCATCAGGTCAATAAACTCAAGTTCCTATTTAATGATTTATTCCCAACTTTGAATGACAGATTACTAATTCGTTTTATGGAATTTATAATTTAACGAGAGAGTACTAAAATGAAAGTTGTGCATAAGAACACTTTGCATGAGAAGTTTCATATTGCTTGCTAATTAATTATTAATTAATTACTCGGTAACGAGTAAATTGCATCACAAAAGTAAACCATCAATATCAGACGATTCCTTCTTATTTACATAAATAATTTTTTTCCTATTATAACGATATTTCTCTCAATTTAGGAGAATTTACTCTATTGATTTTAAATTTAAATAATAAATCAATAAAATTAAAATAAAATTAATAAAATCAATAAAATCAATAAAATTAATTTAAATTAAATTAAATTTTTGTTTAAAATTTTCATTACATAATTAAATTTGCAAATTCTTCTTTTTATCATGGATAATTATTTTCATTTTGAGATGAGTATTTAAAAAAAATCCACTACTGTAGTGTTTCTTTTCTGTGTGAAAAATGTTTTATCCTTGATATATCAGATATATGATTTACTACGTCACGATTGTTTTTTGTTTGAAGTAAAGTAGAAATTTAATGAAAGAGAATTTTTTATCTAAAAGAAGTTACTTGGATGATAAAAGTATATCCAATTCTATACTTTTTCTCCACAAAAATTCTAACGTAAATGCTGAAACTGTAATCCCTTGGATATATACCTGTAAAAAGGTTTTTATATGAAATGAAAAAACTTTTAGAGAACGACACGATTTTTGTTAAAAAAAAAAAATAAATTAATATCTTCGAAAGAATTCCCTTTTTTTTGTTTTAAGAGTTGAATTCCATAATTGTCATATGAACGATGAAAAAAATAGTCTAAAAAATAACTCACAGTTTTGAAATACAACCAAAAAGTGACAAAACTTTATGTAACGAAATATAAATATATATCAATGAATAATTCAAATTTCAAATCCTATAACATAAGCATTACAATAGTCGACAGAATTTTAAAATTCTATTCAAAAAATCCAAGCTTGTCTTCGATTTATCATTCTTCTCTTTTTTTTGGGGGGGGGGTGGAGTTTATAATATCATATTGCAAGGAAAACATCCATTCAAGGTTTTAACATATTTCAAAATCATTTTATAAATTCCAAAAAAAAAACATATGTGCACTTTTTTACAAGCGCTCACAACTCTTTAAAGTGTTTTTCCCTAAGCTTAAAAAAATACTATAGTAAAATTGCTTTTAAATATGAAAATATTGAAAATACAAAAAATGTATATAAATATATAAACACAGCAGAAAGTGGAAATATTTGAAATAAAATATTATTTCTCTAAATAAACTAATTCTGATGGTTTATTAATTTTAATTACAGAGTTGTCAACATGATAAAATAATATATAAACTGAAATAATTGTAAATTTTATTTTCTAAAACTTGTCTCAATCAATCACCAGCATTCTCTATCATGTTTAATGTCTGTTACAACACATAAAAGTAAAATGGACTTTAAAGTTTAAAACTTTCCTCTGGCACGAGAGAATTTAATTGAACGTAACAAATTTCCTCGTCGCGTGCAAAAACACCTATTTTTAATACTCAAGTCATCTCTTATTATGGATGATTAGCAAAATAAAAAATAAATTCCATACTCGATATTATAAAAATAGGGTAGAAATTATTATGAATCTGAAATTTATTTCCACATTTTTACTGGTTTATTAAATTGTAAATTTAAGAATATTTATAACAATGGAAATTTATTTTTTTTTACTATTCCAAATATATTTTATGATTAAGTAATTAGATCATGGATAGAGACAATTGAGGAAAAACATCAGTATGTTGCATTGCAATTGAATTTTAATTGACTGACCTGAATTATTCGAAACCAGAGGATATCGGAAGGGAAATTAATTCAGTATCAATATTTGATTGGATAAATTTTGAATTTTCGTGTAGTCGAAAAATTCGAATGTTTCCTTTTTATTTGAATAGTCTTTAGGTATAAACAAAACGTAAAAAATTGTAATATTTATTATAGCACCATGACGACGTTATCATGAATCTTTTTAGGTAACTCCTAGTGTAGAAGTTTATTATTAATTTAAGAATAATTAAATTTTACGAGAGGTAAAGAGACACAGTGTAGACTCACTAGAATCCTCTTAGGAGCAGGAAGCAGTCCTCGCTTTTAGTATAGCAATAAAATTTAAAGTTTTCGTAACTTTAAGTTTTTGGATATGGAACATTTAATCATCTCGGCATTTTGGTTTAAAAAATATTATAGTTTTACAAATTTTACATTTGAATTCACACTATTTGTGTGATTGTTTCGAATTTGCTGTCACAAATCGTTGTAGAAGAAGGAGGAGAGGAAGTAGCTCGAGAGTATAAGCAGTTACAATTGCGTATTTATCAACACTTCTCCAAATACATTAGAGGTACTGTAAAGGAATTCGAGACAATTGCATTAAGATGCAGGAAGAAGGGGAGATTGTTTGGAGAAGATGCACGCAGATTCAATAAAGGAGGATGAGCATTTCTAGGAAGGCTTAGTTTGTATAAAAGATGCTCACTAGGACTGGAGTATTCGAGATAGATTCAAATCAAATGTTCCCTTTAACTTATATGTAAAGATATCTAATTTGCGTGAAAGATCTAGAAAGCAAAAAGTAGAACAACCAAACGAAAAATAATACAAAAAATTAAGCAGACATAACGATACTTTCTTTGACTTGAAAGGTGTAATACTTGGGAGTATTTTATTTGCCATCAGCTTATTCCAAAATTGGAACTAAACGGATTCAATTTTTCGGATTATGAATTCCATGCTTCGAATTTGTAAATGGATGATATACTTTGGGGAACTTTCTAGGCATCACGCCAGGTAGATAATTCTATTCCGGTGAAGAAGAAAATTATAAGCACTTTCGGACTAGCTCTAAAATATGTTAGGTTCCCTATAACAGCAACGGATATTTCAAGATACTTTATGGACGTCCCAGGACAAATACTAATCGAACTTTCTTGCACAGTTTACCCTACCTTTCATGCTACTGCAGAACTGTTACCATAAATATTTGATAGCTAGCAAATATAAAAGAGATACCACTGCTTATGCTTAACTTTGCGCGTTGTTGACAGCAGATAATGTCTAACCTCAATTTTCTTCGGGATTACTAAAAACGTGAAACGGAAATTATGAAGAGTGATCAATGTCATAAAGTAATTTAAGAAGATTTAAGAAATGGTGATTGTGTTCAATTTTAGGTTAGAAAAAAATTCAAGTCAGAGAGTCAAGCAAAACGAGAAGGAACAAATAATAAAAACTGTCACAAAAAACAAACACAAAGTAAAGTTCAACTAAATGGTTGTATTCAAAAAGCAGACCAAACTTAAATCAATTTATTTAAAAAAAATCCGAAACACACGTAAACACGTGTTTAATAGCTGCCACCTAGCGGCATTTATTGAACAGAAGAAAATTTTCCACAAGAAAAAGTAAAAAACTAGGAAATGTTCAGAGGAGGAAAAGCTATAATAACAAACCCAAAGATTTCTCATTATGGAGATATATCCTTATTAGTAATAATTTAAATTGTGCAACTAAATCAAAATATTCTAATATGTTCTCTTAATTTCAAAGCATTCCCATTATTTTCTCTAACAATAAATAGAGCAAGAAGTGAAATTCTCAAAGCTAATCATAAATTCTAACTATGCGGTATGTTTTTGTCTTCTGAAAATGTTCTTTGTTTCGTGTAATCGTGTAGCTAAATTAGCAGGATGCTCGCGGTATCTAGGACAGCAAAGCGTTTATACTTCAAGACTCATTGTTTTTTGTATAATATTTTTTGTTTACTCTAAAAAGAAGTTACTTATGTAAAAATGTACATTTACAGAGCAAAGTAAAAGAAAATATGAATAGATAATTTAACCATAATAAAGTTACCGAGAAATACAAATATTATCCTGGATATTTTTAAGCTTCTTAAACTTATTCGCAATGATAAACCTTGGCACAATTCAAAAGAGAAAAAGAATGTGCCAAAACGTTAAGAAAATCTCATTTCAAATGTTATTCATACATGCATATATATATTTATATGGAATGAGTTTGAAATTCAATTGTATACTTCGATTAGTTTTTATCTCGTTGAAATTTATTTTCACTATAAAACGTAATTCAAAAATGTTTTTTTTTTTACTTTATAAAATAAAATTGATTTTATCTTTTGAAATAAATTTAATATCTTTTGAAATGTATCTAAAATCTATAAAAATATTTTACTTTCCCAAAATTTATTTGTTATTCCCAATAATCTTTGAATGTTCCCAGTAATACTTTTTTCAAAAAATTTTAAAACCTATTTCTTGAATTGACAAAATTTGAGTTTTTATTTTCAAGCCCTCAATTTACTGACCAATATTGGAAAGTTCTTTTTGAAAATAGAGGGATTCTGAAAAACATAAAAATTCACGAAGGGGAACAAACTGTGTAATAAAAAGTGAAAATAGTGTTTACGTACTTTATACAACATCCACGGCATATACAGAAACTAAAAGCTTTTATTTTTAAAGTTTTTATAAAGGACAAAAATTTAATTTCACGAATATTTTTAAAAGAATTTTCCATTCATTCTTATCTGAAAAAGAAAATAGATAGAATCAAATTAGATAATTTAATTAATTTATTTAAAAAGAAATAAATAATGAAAAGTTTTTAATTAACGCTGTGGATATCCATCTGAAGATTTTATAATTGAAAATTATAAATAAAGTAAAATATTTTTAATTACATATTAATAAAAAATGTCCAGCATCGCTTGCGTGAGGTGGATTAATAGTTTCTTAATAACCTTTTGTTAAATTAGTTAATTTCTAGTTTATCAAGTTATGGCCGATTTCTCCAATACCGATTCAAAGTTTATCAATGATTAAATCCTATACCGACAAATCATGAGCGGTTAAACTGACTTTAATCATTGATTAACTTTTAATTAGAGTTAGTTAAACTGGCCCTTGAAGTGAAAATTTTTATTTCTGTAGAGTTTTTCTTCTGATAGTAATAAAGAGTAGTCGAATTTATTAGTTTTTATAATCATAGCCCAGTATTTAACCACAAATAAATTTGTTACAATGAAGATTTCTTATTCAAAATAAATTAATAAGATTAATTAATTTATTAATTATTATTGTTAATAATTAATTAATTAATCAATAAGATTTCCTGAAAATTAAAATTATCTCGTATCACAATAGTTATACTTCTTGCAGTCACTGTGGTTGAGTACAGAATGACTAGTAGGCACGGATAGTAATATCAGACTGAGATTAATTCCCAAAGACATAATGACGGTCAAACTTCTAATCAGCACTGTGGTCACTTTCAGACTAACGATTTTGTTTGAAGTTTCTAAACACTTCCTGGTTCCTGCAAGTGTTAAAATATGTTAATGCCACTCATTTTTGAGAAAATGAAATTATTTTTGAATTTTTCTTGATTCTTATTAAATTCTGGTCTTAAAATCTACAACCTAATTTTTATGTTCTTAATTAACTTTCTAACTTAGATAAAAAGATCATAAACAATAAATTGAATATGGTCGAATGTATCGTACTACGAGGTGAATACATAACCTCAAATTATAATTGGTATTGACAGTGTTTGTGAATTTTAAATCACAATATAATTGCGAATCGCTTGTTAACATGGTGCTAAATTTCAGGTAGAGTACAAATATTAGTAAATAATTAACATCAAGAAATTTTTAACTAGATAGATAGATGTTAAAATATACTTATATTCTTCGATACGCATAAAAATAATAATAAAAAAGTTTTTCATCTTAAATTATCAAAATACTGAACGAAAACTCTTAATTGAAAAGGAAGACCCTAAAGTGCTACACCTCCCATTTAAAGTTACAATAAAATTATCAACTTTTAATCAACACTAAAATTACAATTTAGTAGAACATTTCGAGAGTATAAAAAACGTTCGTAAAAAAAGACGATGAACCTAATTAGCTTCTGTTCTTGTTTTGCAGGCATCCAGGAGACAATCCCTTCTACAGCAATATCGACAGCATGCCGGACATTCGACCGCGCCGGAAGTCGATACCACTGGTCTCCGAGCTGGTAGGTGGCCGATTACCTGTTATCCTCTCAACTCTCTTGTTTCTATTGCTTGAACCGTCTATTATATACGTCCAAATTAATTACCGAATCAACGATCGTTGTCGTAGTCGCAAGTCATCATTGATACGATTTTAAAAATATTAAATTTTTTAAAATTATTTTGATATATTCGGGTTAAAAAATTAATTAGCAAATTTAAAAGTATCTAGATTAATTATTTTACCCTTTTACTTTAATGTGTTAAATCGACAGAACTGAATCGCAAACTAAAATTACACACAAAGTCTTTTGACTTCTGTACGGTGAGTGCTGAACATTGCCTGTTAATTAATTCACTGATTTGTTTTATTAATTAGACGAGGAGAAACTCTCTAGACAGGATTAAACGTATATTGATAATTCTAATTTCTATGAAACTCAAAAGTGAATATGTATATATAGTTATATAAAAAATATAGCATTCAAAAACATGTTAAATTTACTTACTTTTATACCAAGTGCCGCGTGAGCACTCAAACCCAGATATCTGGGAAGTTTGCATAAAAATCTCTTTGATCACCGACCTCGAAATGCACCAAATTCAGAGCTCTTTTTCAATTTTATTATGTTCTATTTTCAAAGTGAAAATAGAACTTTCAATCTTCTTGTAATGTTAATGCCACAATGACGTCATTATTTTTCTAGAAAAATATTTATTTGGAGAAGGTTTTATTTTCGTTAAAAGATAAGGTGGATTTTTGGCTGTATGAAAAAAAAGTTTTGCATAAAGAGAGAAATTCTTATTTTAGGCACTAGAATATTTTTCAATAATCGGAAGTGGAAAATCTGATTAAGTTCAAATAGTAGAATTAAATCCAAACTTATGGGGAATCGCTCTTTTTCTGGTCGACCCACTGAAAACCACACTCATATTATTCTGGACTATTATTTAACCCACGGAACTACCTTTTTCGGCTTATGGCTAGCTTGGGATTTCTTGTAGAGGAGAAGCATACCGATGATGATGGTTAGTGCCGTGTCGGTCCGGCAAGTTTAATATTGATCTGACTCTCTAGGCGGGTGAACGTGTTTTCGTCCGACGCGTCTAACAAACCCGGGGTACGAGGCTTGTCCTCGCTAATTCATTTCCACTTCTGATGGAGTGTTATCGGGGCCAATACGACTGCAACAAACTGCTTCTCCATTTTATTGGGTACCAGTCTTCTTGCATTCTGGGTACTGTCTATATTTCGTCATAAACTAATTCCACGCTTGTTGACTCCCACTTCTGATGATGGGGTCAATATGACTGCAACTAACTGCTTCTCCATTTCATTGTTCACCAGTCTTCTTGCATTCTGGATACTGTCTATCTTTCGCCTGGACTCGCTTTAGAGAGTAATTATCTCACCAGAGTCGATTAAAGGAATTCAATGCTATCTGAAGCGTTTTTTCTATCCCGACATACCTGGCAGGTGTTTCGCATGAAGTAGCTATAGCCTTTCATGGGGTGATAATCCTATAACGTACCCAGGTACCCGCAAAGAACTATGAAGAAAATTGACTATTCTGTATCTAGACCACTATGAGGAAAAGGTCCAGGTATGTCACTTACACGACTTCTCAGTCCCGCACTTGTTCTGGCCTATTTATTGTTCGTTCTAGCAATAGTCTTCTTCTTTCCTTCTTTGAAGACTTAAACAGTCAGCAATTTGCAGACATATGATCGGCTTCACCGCACCTGAAGCATGCTCCCAATTTGTCTACCGCTTTAAAAACTCTTCCTATGTGGACGTATCCAAGACACCTATTCCATATAACGACTATGCATCTCCTCCTGAACGGGTGCAACATAAAGCCTATCTTTAAGCTTCCCATCTCTCTCAGCTTTTCAGCCATACCTTACTTTGTGATCGCAACAATTAGCTTAAATGCAACCTTTATTGAATCCTACGACCATCTCCTTCCTACCTTCTGTAGGTATTCCAAAAGTCTTTATGAAGGACTTTTGAACTTGCACTGCTTGTGTTAAGTCTGGTCAAAGAACCCCAAGTGTCCGAACGATTCCTCAATGGTAATATTTGCCTCTTCAATTAGATGGCCCGGAATTTCACTATAACCCATATTTTGAGACTTGTTTATACACTGACGACAAATTTCATAATGGTTTATGATTGAGCTGGGGGTGGTACGTGGAAAGTGAGAGTGGGAAGTGAAAGTAGGGAATGGAAAGTATGAGTGGGAAGTGAAAGTGGGAAGTAAAAATGTTACTGAATCAACCCCTTGATCAAAATAACCGGAATGTAGCTGAATGTCCACTAAGGTCTCCAGGAATTGTTACTTGGTTCAATCGTCATAGATATGGTGTTTTCACTTCATTCGAGGTACATTAAGTAGAAGGTTTAACTTCGAACTACAATAGTATGCACTGCCCATTATTGTTCGTTACATATCATCAGCACTCCACTGTCGCTAATCCGGTTGTACTTAGGAAAGGTTTCCTCCAGTATTCATCTTCCTTGATAAGAAAACTTAATAGCCGTTGTACAGGCAAATGTGAGTACTCCCAATTTAAAGTCGATTTGTGAATGCAATAGTTTGTTACAATTTTCGCTGAGAACATTTGTAGAATGCTAGAAATAAGGCAAATAGACAAAGTAGAAGGTCTTAAAGTTCTACGTGATACCTGTCTGCTATAAAAGAGGTAATAAAATCAGTCACCAAGTAATTTAGTTCGTGTTTGTAACGACTTGTTCTCCTAATAGAAATTCACCGCATTCGATTCAGTTCTGTTCAAACTTCAAAATGAATTTAATTTAAAAGTAATTGTTAATTATTTGTTATTAAATTAATAATTGTTTTACTATTTAATAATAAAATTTTAGAATCTAGGTAATCTGTTTATTTTTCAGAAATAAAAAAGCGACTACGACGCAATGTTTCGCGAATTTTTATAGTTCTATGTTTCCATTGAAAAAAAAGCTTAACCACGCTCGAGTGCAACTTATGTTCAATATTATTTACCTGTAAACGTTATTAGTTTAAAAAAAAGAACACAAAAATCAGAGGTTTGCACTCGAGAGTGGTAATCAACTTGTGCTTTCTCGTAATTTAATGCGTGTTTTACGTTTCAGTGTTTTATCGCCTATAATATGGCACGAAAATGCGGAAAAATAACAAGCGATAAACGATTCGAGTCGAAAATATAAAAAGCAAAAATTACTTAAAACGAGGAATATTTCAAACAGACAAAATATAAAAGATGTAAAAAAATTTACTGAACTTATATTGTTACATTTAACTATATGATCTATTTCTTTACAATCAAAATATTTAATTATTTATGCAAGTAAAAAATCAATAAAATATTTATATTAATTTGACTAATTAAATAATAATTGATAATTTATCGCCGTTATTTTTTGCTACGCGTTTAAAAAACAGTGATGATAATATTAAGAATTTGTTTTTCATTTCTTACAATAAAAATTAAACAAGTATAATATTTAATTCGAAATCAAAGAGAGAGAGAGAGAGAGAGAGCTGATAAAGCAATAATAGTGTTGAAAATAAAATTGCATTCCAACGTAACCGGAAATTGACGAGCTCTGGACAATACTTCCGGATCAGGTGACTCGATCGAAAAATAGTTGAATCCAAACAAATTTGAAATTCGAATTAACTTCTGATTGCTGAAATTGCCCGTTTGTTTGCAACATATATTTCACACAAACGTGAGAGTCGATTTAACTGTTGGAAATTTTATCCTCATATACATACATTCAATATGTCCATTTCGCATGAATTTTGCGTGCGGAAACGATAATTTTGAGTTTTTTTAAAATGAATTTTAGACTATGAGCTAAAATGATTAATGGATATTAATTGACTTATAATTTAGTATTTTGAAATAAAATACTTTTTTTAAAAGTTTTTTCTTTAGGTAGGTTATAATGTTCTAATGGAGTAATCCAATTGATTTGCTTATATGGATGTAGGCCAGTATTTAACCACAAAACTTTTAGAATGAAATGAAGATCTTTTAATCTAAATGAAGTGGAACTCGTTGAAGATGCAGATACAATTTCCTTGAAGATACGGTGATTGAATTGAAATTATCTCGTGTCAGTATGATGATTAAAATAATTCTTGAAGGTACGGTGGTTAAGTACAAAATGAATTGTAGGCGCCAATGGTTATTTAATTCGTCTAGTGTGGCTCCTTTCGTACAAATAGATACTTGCAAGGGAACAATATGTTAATACCACCCACTCCTGTTATAATGGACTTATTTTTTAATTTTAGATCAAAATTAAGTAGAGTAATGATCACTTTGTATTTTTGGCTAATTGGAGTACTCCTAAAACTTGTTTGTTTATCTACATCTGAATTAACAACAGATAAACAGTTTCTTACTGTTTCCAAAGAAGTCCTTTGCAGTTAATCCAAATGAAGATAAGTACTTCTAATTCTCGACTGCCCATAAATTGGTTGAACAAAATACTGTTTTCCTCTAGCAAGTAAGTCCAATAGAGGCGATCCTAATAACTTACATTATTCCTGATACAGATGGCGTCTCTCTAAGAATTTACTTGGGAGGCCTCTTCTCAATAGGATCAGATTCCGCTTACCGCCCCAAGTGAATAGAGAAGACACTTTTTCATCTGAAGCTAGTTGTTTCTTCGCCTCTGGGTGCTTCCTGGGTTAAGAATCATCTTCACAGAGATTTAATCATTTTGGTACAATTCTTACTGTGTAAGAGAGTCCAGGGGGTCGAATCTGTAACTTTTCCACTTACCACTATCACTTCCATATTCCACTCTCACTTCCCACTGTCACTTAATACTTCCCACTTCCACCTTACACTCTAACTTCACATTTTCACTTATTCCTTTCACTCTTACTTCCCACTATCACTTTCCACCCTCACTTACCACTCTTTCTTCTCACTCTCACTTACCACTTTCCACCCTCACTTCCCACTGTCGCTTAATATTTCCCACTTCCACCTTACACTCTAACTTCACATTTTCATTTGCACTTCCGACTCTCAATTACCACTTACCACATCCCACTCTCACTTTCAACTCTCACTTACCACTTTCCACCCTCACTTACCACTCTTTCTTCTCACTCTCACTTTCCATTTTCCACTCTCACTTACCACTTTCCACTTTTACTTCCCACTTTCCACTCTCACTTACCACTTTCCACATTTACTTCCCACTTTCCACTCTTACTTCCCACTTTCCACTCTTACTTCCCACTTTCCACTCTCACTTCTCACTTTCACTTAAAATTTCCCACTTCCACCTTACACTCTAACTTCACATTTTCATTTGCACTTCCCACTCTCACTTACCACTTACCACATCCCACTCTCACTTACCACTTTCCACTCTCACTTACCACTTTCTCACTTTCGTTTCCCACTCTCAATTCCGCTTCCACGTTCCTGTCTCACACTCCACAAAGTGGGAAGTGAGAATGAGAAGTAAGAGTGGAAAATGGTAAGGGAGGGTGGAAAGTGGAAGGTGAGAGTGGAAAGTGGTAAATGGAAAGTGAGAGTGAGAAGTAAGAGTGGAAAGTGGTAAGTGAGGGTGAAAAGTGGAAAGTGAGAGTGGAAAGTGGAAAGTAAGAGTGAAAAGTGGAAGGTGAGAGTGAAAAGTGTGAAGTGATAGTGGAAGGTGATAGTGGGAAGTGAGAGTGAGAAGTAAGAGTGAAAGGTGAGAGTGGGAAGTGGTAAGTGAGAGTGGAAAAGTTACAGATTCGACTTCCAGACAGCGCCCTGACAACTAAAACATTTTTGAGAACCAATATAAATCCCAAAAGGAAAGCGGAATTCCGTAAACTTAATAGGAAAGAGGCGAAAATCATAACAGAGCTGTTAACTGGTCACGGAGATTTATGCTATCATAGGCATAATTCGGGGATTGTGGGAGTTCCGTTATCGATACCAGAAGCCTGGCTGAAATCCTTTCGCTGTGAAAGGAATTACGAATGCAGGCGTAGTAATTTAGGGAACGCAAAGGGATAACCCAAACGTTAGTGGCTTATATTCCTGTGGTCACAATACAATTTCATAATAAAAATAATTCTGGCTCATATTTTATCAAATAAAAGTAATAATTTCGTCCAGCTTTATCACTAAGACTACAAAAATAATTTCTTTTGTATTCTTATTTCAATAACCAAACCGATCGAGTCACTTGGTCCTCTCTAAAGTATCTCTTAATTATTCAAATTTAAACTGATTTTCCATTTTAAAAAAATCAAAAGTTCTATAGGGTGCATAATGATTATTACAATGTTAATTGTATAACTAACGACAAAAAAATATTTTTTCAGGTAAATTTCTATTATATAAAGTAAAAATAAAAAAATTTAAAATATAATTTTTTATAAAAATCAATTCCTTTTTTATCCTTGTGTAGTTAAATTTATGCACTACCTTGATAATTTTTGAAAAAGAAACTAATTTCACTGATTATACGTCCTACCAATTTAAATGTTTTGTGTAAAGTTAAATATATTTTTTTGAACTCAAAGAAAGAATTCAAGAAGAGTTATTAATGCTCCTACTGACATTACACATAAATACTATTTTTGGCAATAAAAATTAATTGGTTAGAAATAATTAAATAAATTTAAATACATTGAGTGACTGAATTCTCTCTTTGAGTTATAAGACCTCCTGAGGCCTATTATATGTCATATTTTTATTTATACATTTCCCTGAATGTTATGTGTCAAAAATTCACATTATTATTGTTGTGTATCGTATTTTGATCCTTTTAAAAAATAATCTGTGCTAGAGAATAAAATTGCATAAAATCCCATCAGCATTCGGATATTCGGGATATCGCAGGGACGTCCTGAGGATATCCTGTAATATTCATTTCCTGTTAGGGAAATACAATTTTTTTAAAATCAAATTAAATTATATCTGAGAGAAATTAAAAAGTTGAAAATAAAATATTGACAAAAAAAATTGAAAACTTACTCAAAATATTTTTTTTAGTAAAAACCAAAATAAGAAATTGAATTACTTCTTTCCAACTTTTTAATTTTGAATAATAAAATAAGAATTTTATTTTATTTATTTGTGTTCAATAATAAGATTTAAAATACAAAAACTTTCTTCTAATGTAATTTTTTTTAAATCGTAATGTGAAAAGCGATTTGCAAAGCAAAAAAAAGAGAATCGTAAACTAATCAGCATATAATGCTAAATATTCTTTGTTTGTTCTCTGTGGCGCCCGTTGTTGTATCTACCTGAACACCTGAAAAATCACCTGAATAACAAAACCACTCACTGAACCTCTCAAAAATCTCAAAACTCTACCTCCAGGTCTTGAAGGTACTAATTAAACGCCTTCTTAGCGAAATTAATTAGCAGCTTGTTCACACGTCGCACGTAGCATGCGATATTGCATACATGTTCCGAAATTAATATTTTTCGTGTTATTGTGTAAGTTGTTTCGCTCACCAATATATATTTTTTTCTCACATTCTTTTTTAATTCTTACTATGGGTTCCAACACTTTAAATACACTTTTTTCTACTCTTTCTTTTTGCACATTGTGCAAGTATACATACATTTTAATATTTTTAACAAAGGCGAACATTAACTCCACTTACTATTTTTTTTTTTGAAAACACTTTTCTTCTCTTATGAAGCAGAAGAAGAAAAAAAACAATTGTCACAGACTGACAAAATGATTATAATTTATTATTTCATTTCGAAATAAGAGTAGATTTGGTATGTTTAAAAAATACGAAAGAATACTGCTCGAAAAGTTTTAGTCAAGAATTTGATTTTTATCAACTTTAAATACATTTTTCTTTTGAAAAATAAATTTTCTTCTTATTTCATATTTAAAGTGAAGAAAATTAATTTTTTTAAAAAGAATTTTAGTAATAAATATCATAACGATTATATTAAAAATAATTCGAGCTATTTTAGTTAAAATTTTGATAGTAGTGTAGATTTTAAATGATAATTATTTTACTTTTACAGGGGGAGATTTTTTTTTAAAGGGGGTATTTGTTTTTACCATAGAAAATATGGTAAAATTTAGAATAGATTTGCATTTTCCTGTACTTCAGCACAAAAATAATATACTGCATGTGATTTATATTTCTATTTTGTGGTTAGTATTATATAAGTAGTGCATGATTTTAATTATCGTAGTTATAATGAATATTTTTCTAAAATAATCTATTTAGCGAACTATGTAGAATTTATTTATTTACCACATTATTGATTAATGCTTTTTTCAGAAAGTTATTTTCAATGAGAAAAAATGTTAATTTAGAAAAAATTATAATATTTATAATTAATTAACATTTTTTTCATTTCCATTGAAATGGAGAATAAAATAAAGTGAAACTACAAGTCCATTTCGACTTGTTTTGTAAAATATAATCTGCAATATATATATCATTTTTTGTGTGTGTTTGTGTGTGTCTAGGTGGCAAAAGTGGATTTACGAGGCATGACATCTTTTAGCTGAATTTCAATTAAAATTATTGCCTCGCTAATCCTAATAAGCCCTATCTACTAGACACCATAGATTAATTGGATTAAACTTTATGCATAATCTTCTTACCATTTTTTCACATTTCTTCATCTCTTCCCTTTTTTATTTTCTTTTCTTCTGTCAGTTTTTTTCCATATCTTTTTCAATTATTTTTTCAGCAAAAATACATTCTAGCAATTTTTTTTTATTTAATTTTTTTTCTAGTTGACATGAAAAAAATTTGTAAATACTTGTAGATAAAAATTACATTTTGTATAAAAAAAAATTTTTTGTTTTAATATCAAAATTTTCAAAGTTTGGATTGTTGAACTCGTGCCATGAGCACTTGTTTTGAAAATCAGATTTCGTAACAAAGTTTTAAAAACAATTTAATGTTTCGCATGTTCTTTTCATTATCGAAAGAAAACAAAATATTGCAAAGAGTGCGGTAGCAATTTTCTTTTAGATAGTATTAACAAAATTTAATTGTAATTACAAAAAAAAGCTAAAGCACGTCATGAAACTTGTTTCGTATTTTTTTCTCACAGTCTGATTTCAATTTTTACGCTATCGCACAAAATTCACGTTTTTTTTTGCAATCTTTTTTCACTGAATGAAAATAGAAAATAATGTATAATTTTTCAGAAACTGTTTCAAATTTCTATTTTTTTATATTTGGTATTTTCACACTTGTACATATTGACATAATTGTTTCTTTTTATTCTACAGTTTTTAATTTTTAATATTTACTAGATTTAATGGAGAAAACAAATTTTTTTAAAAAGTTCAAATACACTCTTATAAAGTGATTTTAAAATTATTTTCTCTTCTTTTCTTAACAATGTAAATTAATAATTAGATTTGTTGGAATGTTTCTTAAACATATTTTTTAATCAAAATTTGTATCAACTTACAGTAGTGTTAATAATTTTTATTATTCAAAAATTCATTTGTTCATCTATAAATTTTTACATCTTTCTCTAAAAAAATGTTTTTCTTTCTCTTTCTTATTTTTAACTATACTTTCTTTCACACTGGATGCATATTAATTCCAACGTTGAAAAATAATCAAATGTTATTTTTTCTCAGACTATGGCCGCAACCAAACGAAGTCATGCTGCTGGTCTAACTTCCGCTGTACCTCGAGCGACATTAAACGACGAAGAATTGGTAAGAAATAAGTATTTTAAAGTATTTTTTTCTTAATTTATAAAAAAATTCACTCAAATATCTTATATTTTAAATATATTCTCAAATCTAAATTTTCTTCTCTCCCAAAAGGAAAATAAAAGAATTGAACGTAAAATAAAGAACTATTTACAATAGATAAAGAAAATCTTTTACTCAAAATCAGCGCCAATAAAATTCGAACAACTCTTAACTTTCATCAATTGTTTTTATACTAGCTGACCGATGCAAAATTTATAGAAAAAAGGTTCTCAAACAGCAGTGCTTTGAAAAGAGAATGATAAAATTTTTACAACTATTTTATTTTACTCAAGAAAAGAAGTCCGTATTTGCTGAAACATAAAATCTTTATTGTCACTTAAATTTGAAATTCGTGGAGAAAACTCTTCATTTCAAGTAATGAAAATTCGGTCCACAAAATTTGCCAATTGTAAAAAATTGTATTGTATTTCAAATTGAGATTGTCAGTTTAGAATTACAAAAAATTTTTATCCCCTCTTTTTGTCAGTTGACATTTTCAGTGTGTCCCTCGTCGACGCACAACAAAAAAAAGTTTACATCCGTTTTGAACTCAGTTGAGAAATGGAGATATATACATCTTTAAAATTCCATATAAAGGAATTATAAATCAAACTCTTCTTAAAACAAACGAAACAAAAACAAAAAAAATTCTCTATTTAGATTTGTAAAAATTTTAAATTTTAAAATTAGAAGATAACAAATTTTAAATTGAAATCTTTTTTTTAATATATAGGTTTATTTCTTTTTGTCAGACATTTTTTTCCTAGAAACAGGTTTTTGTATTATGTTTAAAAATTCTGATCTAACACACACTCAATATCAAAATTACTATGTAGACTAAACTGGAAAATTCGTTAAAAGCAAAAGAAATTAAATTTAACCGCAGAACTCTCTTTTTTTCATATGAACCGTGCTGCATTTTATCCTCATTTCCACGCTATTTTCTTTCACGTAAGTGTGACTCAGCGACTGAAGTTTTTTATATCTTCTCTCCATTTTTTTTCTTCCTTACCCTTTTTAGTTATTCACATGATCTCATTTTTTCAACACATATTTTTTTAACTTTATATTTTCATTTCCTTTTCTATAAAATATGTATGATTTTTCTTTTTGCTCAATTCCAACTTATTTTTGTTTTTCTTTTATTGAAACGGCTAAAATTTTTAATAAACCATAAAACTGTGGAAATCTGTACAATTTGATCTGTTTCAATAAAAATTGTATTTTAGATTGCAATATGTTCCTTTTTTGTTTCTTATATTGTTTTCAATTGATGGGGAGCAAAATCAATCGAAACAGTATGGTTAGAAAGAAGGGAAGATATTTTTAATATTATTTATTTAATTTTGTTTTAGTGGAGGAAAGTAGAAAAACTTTTTTTGTTTTTAGTTCTGCTTTCTTTTTGATAAATTGGAACGAAATATGAGAATATAGTTTATATTTCAAACGAGTGAAAATGTAGTATCACGTTTAACACGAGTCTAAATATAATTTAGGAGAGGAAATCGAAAAGCCCTTCTCAGATTGAGGAATAAATTTTAGTCGAACGCTTAGAGGAATTTGAGAATATTTTCATGCCGGATGTTCCTCAAATTTAAGAGATACTGAAGTACAACAACTCGTAGCTTATTGACAACTTCAAAACTCTGTTCAAATCACCAAATTGCTGAAGTTAGTTTTATAGGAATAACCGAAAGTGGTTCCAGCTGGGTCCATAAACGAATCTATAAAATTCAAACATACAATATTGTTACGTCTTAATAAAGAGAGTAAACATACTAATAATTAAATTTATTTGAATTGTTTGCATCGGTGGTATATCCAATTTTATTCACGGAGCTGAAGGCTTTGATAGTAAGGATACAGGGCGTCTAGTCTGTAACTTTTCCATTTTACACTCCCTCTTTCCACTTTCACTTCCCACTTTTATTTCCCATTCCCTACTTCCACTTTCCACTCCCACTTTCAATTTCTACTTCTAATTACCCACTTTCTACCTGCACTCCCACTTTCCACTTTCACTTCCTACTCTTATTTCCCATTCCCCACTTCCACTTACTAATCCCACTTTTCACATTTCAGTCGTACTTCCCACTTTCAATTTCTACTTCTAATTTTCCACTTTCTACCTTCACTCTTAGTTCTTATTTCCCCCTTCCACTTTCAACTTTCCACTCCCACTTTCATTTATCGCTCTTCCCTCGCACTCGCACTCTCACTTCCCACCTTCCACTTTCCACTCTCAATTCCCACCTTCCACTTTCCACTCCCACTTTCAGTTTCTACTTCTAATTACCCACTTTCTACCTGCACTCCCACTTTCCACTTTCATTTCCTACTCTTATTTCCCATTCCCCACTTCCACTTTCTACTCCCACTTCTCACATTTCAGTCGTACTTCCCACTTTCAATTTCTACTTCTAATTTTCCACTTTCTACCTTCACTCATAGTTCTTATTCCCCCCTTCCACTTTCAACTTTCCACTACCACTTTCATTTATCACTCTTCACTCGCACTCGCACTTCCCACCTTCCACTTTCCAGTCTCAATTCCCACCTTCCACTTTCCACTCTCACTTCCTACTCCCACTTCCCACTCTCACTTTTTACTTTCCAGTCTCACTTCCCACCTTCCATTTTGACTTCCCACATTCTACTCTCACCTTCCACTTTCAACTCTCACTTACCACATTCCACTTTCTACTCCCACTTTGACTTTCCACATTCCACTTTCTACTTTTAACTCTCACACTCTACTCTCACTTATCACTTTAATTTTACACTTTCACGTCCCATTTCCACTCTCACACACCACTCCCACTTTTAAATGAAAATACTTTATTAACGATTAAGAGTGCAAGGTAGAAAGTGCAAGAAGTGGAAGGTGGGAAGTAAGAGTGTTAAGTGGAAAGTGGGAGTAGAAAGTGGAGGGTGCGAAGTGAGAGTGGAAGGTGGGAAGTGAGAGTGGGAGTGGGAAGTCGAAAACTTACAGAATTGACCCGCTGAAGTCTTATTGGAAACACTGAAACAAAATTAGAATTTGTAAGGAATCAATTTTGGAATTTAAATGAGGTTTGTTATGAGTGTTAGATCTTTACCATTTCAATTATTCTCTGAGTCGTTGGTCCAGGAAACAATTCTTCCTTCAGTGCGGTGTCGAGAAAATGCCCTTAACGATCGGTTTCAGAAAAATGAAAGTAGGTATTTTCCTCAAAATACATTCGAGTTATCCAAAAGTGAATGGTCAGGGGTCCAGGTGTCAATGATGATTAGATTTGAAGATAGATGTATGTACTACTCCTTAGACTTGGAATAACCGAGATAATTTATTCGATGTCAGTGTTGTACTATTCAGCTCGATGAGGTTTTCGTCTCAGAAAAATATAAAGGTGACTTGATGTAGAAATTAACTTCTTGTATGAACTATGACTTGTACTGTGACCAGACTCGAAGAAGACACTTGGTTAACTCGATGGCGATTTCGTACTACACTCGAAGAAGGCAATTTAGTTGATTCGCTGGTGAATTCTGGACTAGATTCGAAAGAGACAATTGATGACAGTTTACAACTAGTTAACTTAGTAGCGGTTCATGAACTGACGAATTCGGGAAGGGTGGCACCTTTTATACAGTTCCTTACAAGGGACAATATGATAATACCACCCACTTTAATTTCTTTCAGGGTAAATTTTTTATTATTGATTTAATGTTGGTGCATGGCAGTGCATGGGCTTAGTCCCTGTACTAGACAAGTGAGTGACCCTATAGAAAGATGACAAAATACTAATTACCATATTTGGTATCTGCTGTCCAGGTATAAGACAATTAGATCGATGTTTTTTTGGTTACAAAAGAGAAGGATTTAAATATGGACTTCTTCCTGTGGAAAGTATTTTTGTGCTAATTGATCTAATTATTCGATGTTATGACACTTAACAGTTGTGCAGATAACAGTTGAGCAGATAATGCTTAACTTGAAAAAGCTACTGGCATTCAATTAATTAATCCAATTGTTCACAAGGGTCCGCAAAAATCTGGTCGAGGTACAATGGTATCCATTGTCGACTGTTGTCCAGTTCACACCATTAGAACACGGTTGTCGATAAACCGGTTGTTCTCAAAAGAGAATTTTCTACAGTTTCCCTCTCCTCTGGCGAGAAAACCCATTAGACACTTAGCAATATTATCTACCTCCAAAGATAACAGATTTTTTCCATAATCTAACGACACCTAAACATAAAAATTTTACTCCGGATCTTCTCCTTCTACAGCGTACAATCGATTCTAAACTAGTTCATTCCTTGCATTAGTTTTTACACTTTCAAACACGGATCAATTATTTTGCGATAAGAGTTGTTTTACTATATCGAGTAAATTTTATCAGTCTGGGAAATTTCCCACTGGGGGTTCATAGTATCATGATAAAACAGACGAGAAGCAAAAAAAAAAGTGTTAAAACGAAAATATGAGAGCTATACACAGAGGAACATCCTGGCTGATATGGCATCCTCTATATAGTGCTTTTAGCGGATCAGTGCTTAAAACTACCCTTCTCTTTACCCTATGTCTTTTACCAATATAAAGCCGTAGAGAAAATGCACTCTCGAGATCGTTGAGATATAAACCACGAATCTTGAGCATGATTCATTGCGGACTCACAAATTTCCATGAAAATGATGTACGAATTTTTTTAAGAGGTTCTTTAAAACCCGTATCCAGATTTGCTTTCGCCTGAGAGAAAAATAGCTTTATTAATAAATCAATCGTTTCACAAGGAAATCTAATACATATATGATAAATAAAGTAATTATTTTCTGCTTCGAAGGATAGTTTGGTTACTTGGTTCGTGATTATCATTGTTAGGTTTGGGATACTAAAATTTTACTCTATTAACTAATATTATTAAAAATAGTGCCTACCCTGGTTCTAAACATTAATTCTTTAGATTTATAATAAACGAATTTTCTTCGTGACTAAAATAGCTGATAGGAAAATTTATAGATATAGATTTCTGCAGCAACATTTACCAACACTTTTTAGCTCCGACTCAAACCACTCAGTCGAGACTCATATCCTGGGTTTTTGTTTCAACGTCGAAGCATCAGTTCCTTCCCTTGAGATTATTTATGAAATTAATTGTGAAATAAAGTGTATCTTCTATTATGACAGCATGTCTACACACGTAGACATTGACAGACAATTCGATAATTTAGTCAGGAAGGATGAGGTGAGAATTCTCACAAATGTCATTACTGAAGTGCTGACTGTTATTTGTATTAGGGGAAGACTAGAATTTTTATGAAGAGCAAATGCGGTAGAGTTGGATATCTAAATAAATAGAGGTGTTCGTCTTTAATTTAACTCAAACTAGTCACTAGGCGTGCAGAAAAGAACTCAGTATCTAATTAAGATTATTTTAATTATTGTTTAAAAAAAAGAATCAGAATTTTCTATAGCAGAAATTTCACAAGCATTATAAATCATATCGTATTCTTATTTAAGAATAATTATTTGCAATTAACATGTTTTTAATTAAGTTATTAGATAGCCTAAATTTTATTTTTATCCACCTAGCTTAATGATGATAACGAACCAAGTCATCGACACGTCTTTTTTATTGTTTAATAATAAAATCAATAAAATTAAATAATAAAACCGGTCTATGTTATTTTTCACCTTCTAAGGATCAAGTTTTTTGTACGTCAAAAAAGCACATTCGGTTGAGAAATTAATTACACTAAAAAACAAATCATTATAAATTAACAATTAAAAAACGGATGTAAAACGTTAGAAACGTTTTTTTTTCTATAAACTTGAATTAAATTAATGAATTTATTATTTACTTGTAACAGATTATTTGTTACAGATTTATATTCTAACTTTTGTTAAGAGATTAAAAATAATAATTTCAAACTATTCAGTTTATATATATACAAATATGTTGGACTCCTTGAATGGATTGGTTCTTATGAAAATGCACGAAGAGAATGGAAAATCTATTTGGCTTTTGGAAGAATCTCACAGAAATAAAAAACTCACAATGCTTTTTTAGTTTCTTCAACTCACAAACATACACACCCATCCTTAAATTTTTTAGTCATATAAAATCAAAGTCATCGATTAAAATTAAAAAAAAATTGAACCAAGCATCCAAAGCATCTTGTTTTGCCTTTTAAATACTACTAGAAATGCTAATAAAAGACATTTCTAGTTATGTAGAAGAAAGATACTAACTATCATATTAGTAGAAATTATAGTAATTTTTTTTTTTTTTTACTTTCAGTGAGTCTAAATTGATTTAAGAGAAAATAATGGTTAAGACACACGTGAATGACATTGAAAAGCACATTGGCACGATAATAAATTGAAAAATTTTTTTATAGAAAATAGACTTAAGAATAAAGTTCACAGGAAATAGTATTAAAAGTGAAACTTCAATAATTATGAATATTAATTTTATTCTTAATCAACTTAAATATTTCCAAACCTAGAATTATGTTTCTGGCTCTTCTAAAAATTACCAAAAGGATTACTTTTTTGTACTGTTTCTTGTGAACTTGATAATTTAATACTATTCTCAACGCAAATTATCGACAAAGGAACGATATTCTTAAAATTAAATTTACTTTTAAAGTAAAGACACCTTACGTCTTTTTTGAACAGACGTGAGAACGTCCCAAATAAGTTTAGATGTCCTAAAGAAAACCCATGTGTTTGTTCCCTCTGGGTAAGTATAAAATCTCTTGGTTATTTGAGGGTAATTCTATAGAACCACCGCACCATCAGAAATAAAATATCGTATTTGAAGATCCCTAGGTTATCATTTGCAGAAATATTCCTTTGCCAATATTTATTGCTTAATTATTTATCCTACTTGTCGTCTAGTAGTTTAAAGTTGAATAACTCCGTAATTACATACAACTCCACTTAGGAACCTAACGGATGACGTTGATAGGGAACGTTTTTCTGATTTCGACAAGGGTGCATCCAAGTGGTCCCTTGTTTTGCAGGGAAGATCGTTCTTATCTCTTGTAAATCTGCAGATCACCACCCGAGTTGTTACTGCAATTATTCAACGAAACAATTAATTATCCTTAGTAAGCAAGCTTTCAACCATTGCGAAAGGAAAAAAGGACAAACGCTTCTGTTAGCATGAATTTCATTGTAGAAATTTTCTACTCCAGACAAACAAGGTCCAGAGGGCAAAAGACAGGTGATGCCCATTGAGATAACGAAGCAGTTAGTTACAGTCATACTGACCCCAATATCATCAGGACTTAGAAAACTTAGGAGACATAAAAGACTGAGAGGACCTGAGGGATGTGGGCAGATGGCGTCTTCCTAAGAACTTAGTGGGTAGTCCTCTGTTAGGTTAGTTCCAGAATGGGCCAAAACGTAATGCAGGCGTGACGCGTCTCAATGCTAATTAAATGGGGATATTCTATGGTACTGTTGAGGACCTAGAAATTAGTCAAGATAAAAATATTTTTATCCTCTCGGATAGCAAGGCAGCGATGTTTGCCTTGAAACTAACTGGAATTAACCGAGTTATTCTTCTCTGGGTCCCCGGTCACACTGGATTCATTGAAAATGATAGAGTGGATGAATTAGCTTAAGTAGATGCTAGGGAACAGTTTATTGGGCCTGAGGCTCTTATTAGGGTTTCTGACAAATGCTTTACCCTGGAATTCAAACAGTGGTTGACAGCAGAGCACCAAAAGGAATTGTAGGCGATTAGGAGCTGTAGGCTTAACCTGGGGATTGCGGACATAAGATGTCTTTCGAACAGACATAGATGTCCTAATGATGTCCTAAAGACATCTCATGTCCCATTGCTTACAGAGAACCATGTTACTTTTCTTTAGGTTCCTGGTCACAGTGGATTCATTGGCAACGATATATCAGATAAACTAGCTACAACAGATGCTAGGGAACAATTTATTGAGCCTCATCCTCCAATTGATGTTTCACCCTGGAATTCAAACAGCTGACAGCATAACACCAAAACACCAAATTACGCTATCATAGGCATTGTATGATGATTGCGGAAGACCTGTCGCTACCAGAACTCAGGCTGAAATCCTTTTGTTGTGTAGGGGATTGCAGATACAGGGATAGTAGTTTAGAGAACCTAAAAAGATTACCCAAACATTAGTGGCTAAGATCTCAAAGCTAACTTTTTTTAATAGGAAGCTAGCATATACCATTTTTTCGATAACTCTGATCAGCATTATTAATCTTTTTGATGATGTAATTTTCGGTATTTTTTTCATGTCCTCTGTGTCCAACTCTAAAGTCACTAATCCAACAGTAGCTTCGAAACTGCTATCACCCAAAAACCTCAATGTACTGCCTCATCTTCTGCTCTCCCACCACAATAATTTGCGGTGCCACTAGAAGTAGGTCACCACCATAAATCACAACGTTAGACCTAAGGCTAGCAGTGAAATTTACAGTTTCCGAATAACTCATACACATTGTACCCCATAATTTAAAATCCATTTTTTTTAAGTTTTCTTATTTTTGGTCGGCTCCAAAAATATTATTTACCTAGAATACCAATAAACCTCACTTACCATTTAGAAAGACCCCAATAACCTTTTAAGAGATTACTATCATTACTTTAATTACACTTTTGAATAAAATAAAAAATTTTATATTAAAATATAGAATATCGTTCTTTTGAAATAGTGCTCTAAAATAAAAAATGAAAAGGTGTGAATGAAAGTCATGAATGTATGAAAATAGTATATAAAAGCAGTAAAATAATCCGATAAAATACTAGTAATCCTATAATGAACGGAACTTAAAATCCATTATAATTTTGGATCTAAAAGAAAAGTTTAAAAAATGAAAATGTTTTTTTTATTAAAATATCGAATTAAAGGTTATTCTAAAGCTAAAGTAAATTGACGTTTTACTTTTTAGAACATAGATCGATTCAAGTATGAATGATGTAAGTTTGTCTTTAGTAAGTGGAATGTCAAGAGTTCAGATGATAAATTAGGGGTTGAAATTGCATGACAGGAGTGGTTATTAACAGAAAAGTGATATGTTCCCGAAGGATTATTAGATTGTCAACAATAATTATAAATCGTATATATATGACATGTTATTAATACATATTTTTTCAAACTATGTCATCTGCAGAAGATGCACGTATACAAGAAAACACTTCAGGCTATGATTTACCCGATTTCGTCAACGACTCCTCACAACTTTGTTACTTGGAGTGCCACTTCTCCTACCTATTGTTACGAGTGTGAAGGATTGCTTTGGGGCATTGCAAGACAAGGCCTGAGATGTATGGAATGTGGTGTCAAATGTCACGAAAAGTGCAAGGATCTTCTTAATGCCGACTGTCTTCAAAGTGAGTACAATTTTCTATCTTTATGTTTCTCCTTTTTTCCTTAAAAAGAAAGGCACAAAGTAGAATTATTCAGAATTTGGAAATAAAAATTCACTTTGCACAATTTTTTTTAAATGCCGGGAAAGTAAATTCTCGTGTTAGATGAGTTACCAGCTAGTATAAGCGCATCGAAAAGCGACGAAGTGAGTATAATGTAATCTTCTTAACGGGAGAAAGCCACGAATTTTGGCACAGCTGAATGCAGAGAACCGACCAACGTATTTTGTGGCAAAAACTTTAGCTTTACTCGCGAGTTTAATTAAATGCGCAAAATTGCAAGCAGTGAGTCAAGAAATTGATTAATAGCGTTATTTAAAGTGGAAGAATTAAATGTCAAGTCAGACGCTATTGATATAGCAATTATGCTATCAAAATAAGAAATAATATTCTAATATTGATTTTATTTTTTTTTAGTTAAATTAAGACAAATATAAATATAAACTTTGAATTTATTATTTGGTCAAGATGACCTAATTTAGTTTATTTAGTGTTTTCACATCGCTAAATAGTTAAACCGTTCTGGTGCTCTGAATGGAATGGAGCCGGTGTGGTAACAGGTGGTAGCATCACTTGGAGTTACTTTTTAATAATTTAATTTCAAATTTTTTGACACAATAGAAAGTAAACTAAATTTTAAACACCAAAATTACAATGTCCTTCTTTTTAATTAAATCGGCTCATACAGGCAACTGTCTGCTGTCCTTTCGGTTTCGAATTTAAAAAATGTTCTTTTTCTGATTCTCGATTACGTTCTTCTAAAGTTACAAAACTGTTTTCGAACTGTATTAAAAGAAACAAATAATCATGATAATATCAAGCAATAAAATAAAGTATAATGGGTAAAATTGGATCTCGCTAAAGCAAAAGTTCGTTTCCTAAAAAAATAAAAGAAAAAACCGGACATGAAACTCTTATCATCAGAAAGGCGCATCGCATTAACGAAAACTGCTAACGGATGAAAAAGAGAAAATATGATAAAATAAAGTGAAAATGTGGAAAATGAGGACTAAACTTCCTTTTCATCTTTTTAGCAATTGAAACTTTTATGCTTTTAAAACTAAACTCTTTTTTCTTGATTCACAACAAAATTCTCATGAACTACAAATGTGAACATAATATATTGGCGATATGCATTTATTTCCATATATAAAATTTTTAATAATCTGAATGAAAACGTATACTGCGGTAATGATCATTAAAAGTAACTGTATGATGTGTATAAGAATATAAAAAATTTATTTAAAAAGCAAGTGAATTAAAATTTAAACCTCTCGAAACTGTTATTATCCAGCTAATATCTTGAATTCTTTACCCAAAGTAAAGAGGCTAATTTCTAATTTCTAAGCTAATTTCAAGTGCATGTATGATTATTTATTGTATTACTTAAAATTATATTTTTTTCATTTTAGGAGCTGCTGAGAAGAGTTCGAAACACGGAGCAGAAGATAAGGCGAACAGCATTATCACCGCCATGAAGGAAAGGATGAAGCAGAGAGAGCGGGAGAAACCGGAAATCTTCGAGCTCATCCGGTAAGTCTGTTTTAATACTTCCGTCAATCCCTCTCTCTATTTTTTATTTAAGCAAAGCTCTTCCTAATTTCAATAGGTATCTCGATACACGGTTTGTATTACGTTACTTAACGCAAGCTCATTTCACCTGATTTAAAGGATCCAAAAATGATTAAACATAATTTTTGTAATCTCTTAAATACTATAAATTTTTTATTTTACATTTTATCTCTGATATAAATTCATAAAATAATAGTTATATTTTGAATAATTAAATTAAAATGAAGAAAAGTTTGAAAGTAGAATAAAAATTAAAGTATAATATATTTATTTTTTATCGTGAAAAAGTTTATTTGAACGATATATAATTATTGGTTTTTGTTTACCGCCATAATAATGATATAATAACTTTTTTTGTAATTTCAAAATCAATAAGAGTTCATCTCTGGATAACATTATTGGTATACTTTATTTATGCATCGTTAAAGTTTCGAAAATTAATTAATAGATAAATTTCATCTGAATTTAAAAACTGGGTCAAACCATTGTTGTCTACACTTGAATTTTCAACTGTTAGTATAGAAGCGCTAATTTATAAAGGACATTGTTTGCAGCTGGTGAATCAGTCTAAATTTATGGGCAACAAAAACTGATACCCTTTTGTTTTTTTAACAATCTAATTACCGTGTCATTTATGTTTTTTTAATTACACATTAGGCGAAACTCAAGTCATATAGTGTTAATGTAGCAATTACTGCGGTCGGTAATATAAATTAAAATTTGTAATGTCAGTGAATTTAGTACTCACGTTTGTTTCAATCAAAACTCTTTAAAATTAGTGGGTAATTTATTTGTATAAAGAGATATTAATTCTTGATTTTAAACCTTAATACTTTGTAATATGATTTTTATGTGATGGAATTCGCTCGCCGGGTGAGGTCCGGGAACCTTAATTAATGTTATTAATGCTGTGAAACATTTGCTATTCGGTTATCGTCTGACTACTTCTAGATAAAACTGTACATAAATATTGGAACGCTGCCGATATTCTTGCCCAACTGGAAAGATTCTAAAGTAATTAAACTAGACGGCGATTTCTAATCCAAGGTGTGCCCTAAAATAAAAAAATCTTCTCCGTTGCTTAGCAGCAGGTAAAAGAGGAGCACCTTTATTCACCTGGGGTCAAGAAGGGAAATGGAAATTGAATCCGCATCCTCTCGAAGGAGCACTTGCAGAGAAGTCACAAGGACCGAGAGTAGGAAGCAAGATGTTCATCTGCTGCAGGAGCACCTTTAACCACTTGTGTCATAGCAGCAACTCGTACAGCAAAACGAGAAGTGGTTTCTTGCTCAGAGTGCAAACTATCAACCACTGGCAAGAGGGAAATGGAAAAGCGCTGCAAACATGGAACCTTGTATTTAAAAAAGATTGACAGTACCCAGAGTGCAAGAGAACTGGTGCCTAATGAAGAAGTAGAGTTGCAGTCCTATTAGCTCTGACAATACTCCATCAGGAATGGGAGTAATGCAATACCAATGTTTCAGATGGGTATGGTGAGACTTCGGTCTAGAATCAGAACCTCCGTCGTACCTTGTTGGTGGTTGCTAAAGTACTATAGTAACAAGCCATCAGGCTATAGTCCTTAACGGGCCCAGGTACCCGCAAAGGACCAAAAAGAAGGTCATACAAGAAGCTCCGGCCTCATTTTTTTTTTTTGTATTGTTCAACATTGTCAATATTAGGTTTGGCGGACAGGTACAGTGCTGGCAACTCAGGTGCCTCGGGATTGGTCTGACTTGGACAGTGTTACTCAGAAAGATGAAGTCCAGGAAGTAATGAAACAATAGCTCATATAAAACTTGAAAGCATAAACATCTTTCTGTACCTTAGGACACAACAAGTTCAGGATGAAGCTTGCAGTTGTTGTATCGAACAATAGGAAGCATAAAAGTTGGAGAAATTGGGTAACATAAAGATTGGATTTATGTGCTACCCGATCAAATGAAGAGTAAAAGTCGTAATGCCACAAGTGTCTGAAATACGGTCATATGAGAAGAGGATGCAAATAGGCTGATCGATTAGTTGTTTACTTTCTGCACTGAGAAACCGATCATACGTTTGCCGGCTATAAAAAAAGCGAAAACTGCTTTTCATGCAGAGAAAAGTTCGGCCACAAGGTGAACATTAACCACGTTGCCAGAAGTGATATGTACGGAGTTTTTTAATCCACCCTCAATAAAGACAAGAATTCTCTTGTAAGAACGAAAGACAAATAAATTTACAGAATTGGTAACAGCATGAGGACACAATCGAGATCCTGGACTTACTTTTTAAGGGCATTTTGGATCATTGATTGCGAACCTGGCATCAGATTTTCAAAATTCGAAATAGCAGATCTAATACGGCACTAAAAAATGTAAGATATTACCTTCGCTTGAGAAATTTTGCAAATTCATCAGATCTGCTTCGTACTCGTTCCCCGAGGGTATTTGGGGTCGGTGATTACGAATCTGGCATCAGATTTTTAAAATTCAAAATGGTGGATTCAATATGGAGGGCAAAATTAAAAAAATTATTGGATATGCTTGAAACTCGTTACTTCGGGAATTCTTGATCAACGACCCTAAGAATCCACTGTTTTGATAAAAAAAGCCCTTTTTCTGTAAGAGACCTCGAAAACGTAAAAATCGATTATTTGAACCTAAAGTTCGTTTTAATTCTCCAGGTCACATATATAGTTTAAGAAAATTCAAAAAAGTTGATTTTTTTAAAAGTTACAATTGGTGAAGCCTTTTAGTTTATCGACCATAAAAACAAAAAACGGCCAGCTCTACACAAGCATGATTTCCAATCCACGTGTCTGGTTAAGCAGATTATCGACTTCTGACTACAAAAAACTGGCACTTTCTAAAAACTTGAAAATTAATTAAATTCTAAAGTGTAATAAAAGTTTTGATAGTTAAAATATATGAACTGCTTGATAAAAGCTGAGAATATATAACTTTGACATTCGATTATTGTAATTACTTGCTAATTACCTTACAACTTTTATAATCTAAACTTACTGCGCTTTTAGCAATTTCTCGCATGAACTTCGATTTATTTCTAAAATAACAAATTATAAAGATTATCATGTATATTTCAACAATAATAAATATTTATAGTTATCTACCGTTTATTGTAAATTTAAAATCTTGTTTCAAATTTATATTATATACAGAACTACAAATTTAGTTATTTAGCTTATGGCATTAATTGTAAACAGTAGTAAATTTTGTTATTTTTTGCTCGGACTAATTAATCTATTTAATTCATCGTATTTGGAAAATTATTCCAACAATTATAAATGTCGATGACTCTGCAAATGGACATTTGTTTTATCGTTAAACTAATGCCACCGCCCACTCGAGATCCGCAGTCTTCAATATAATGAAAATTGCTCTCTGTTAATTTTATTTAATTTTCTATAAAGACTATTGATTATTAAAATGGTTTAAATTACGCTTTTGTAATTTTAATTTTATAAAATGAATTAGAAATACAAATTAAAAAATACATCTTTTTGGATCCTTGAAAATTAGTGTGAATTGTTTTTTTTTCGTTTTAATTATTCTTTAACATCGAAGAAAGTTGTTCGAGGTCACGGGGCCGAGGGAAGAGGTACAGAATGGAGAAATTTGGTACCGTGCCATCAACTAATCGACGTCGTCGTTAACAAGTTGATCGACCAACTGCCGTTAATTACGAAAGGTTGTGTACCTAACGTGTCAACAGTATTTGACAAACTAAAATATGTCCATTCACAAAACATAAAAATTCCATTGACTAGCCAACATAATAGAGACAAAGTAGAATTTAATTAAAGCACAAAATAACTTTTCAAGTACTAACATAATATTATATTAACTTCAAATTTATTTCAATTTCATGAAAAAGTTCACCAAGTCCTATTTTTAGATTATTACATTTAATACGTATACGAATTAAATTTCCAAAAATTAAAGAGACAGTGCAAAGTTTTATTCATGATAATGAGCTACACAGAAAACGGACATATTCTCTTTACGCGAGTTCCTCTACTGCGAAAGCAAAAAAAAACCTCAGCATACTTAAAATAAGTCGACAGAACGAAACCAAATGCAAAAAAACGTTTTCATATGAAAGTAAAAAGAACAGAAAAACCTCGACCCCGTGTACCGGAAACGTATGCAAAAAAAAAAATATATTCGGACAGAGAAAAATATACTTCCATGTAATTCTGGGGGTAAAAAAAAGTAAAAATATAAATGTGTGTTGGATATATAAGTCAGGTGATGAAAAAATTTGGAAGACTTTATGTGAATCTCGTCGGAGTTTAGGTCTGTGTTTGGGGTCGATGAGAAGTCACACATTGGTCACATGACTTCAGTGAAGCAATCAGTCCTGGATGGTACGAGCAAATGGTCTGCGAAGATCGCCATTACAGGTTTGTCAATAAAAGCAAAAAAAAAAAAAAGAAATTCGCTGTGCTCTCCAGTTCTGAACGCATTATTAAAATGACGTAATATTCGTAAAGTGTCTCTGTATTTTATATATGTTTGAAGCTTCCTTCAGCGAAAATAAAAAAAAAACATTTATTGCTCAGCGGCTGTTGCTGTTATCCATATACATATATACTATATTACACGTCACAATATAAATTTTTACAAATATTACTTTGTTTGATTTTATTAATCAAGACGTGCTGAAAGTTGTTTAGAAGGGTAATTTAATGTTTGTTATAATCGAATGAATGCAATGATTTTTTATTTTATAGTAGAATTGGGTTCCTTTAATTGTTGCTGTTTAACTGATGAATTTATGAATTATGAATTCAAAAAACTCTTATTGAAAACAAGACCCCTTTACTTGACCATGGGTCGATTCTGTAACTTTTCCACTTCCCACATTCACTTCCCACCTTCCACATCCCACTTCCCACATTCACTTCCCACCTTCCACATCCCACTTTCCACTCTCACTTCCCACATTCACATCCCACC